CCTTCGTTACATCCTCGGGACACCATGTCTGCTGGGTTGACTTTCGTGGGAACGTGTTTCCAAATTGCTTTCTCCGACCACTCCTGAATTTCTGAAACCCGGCTCGAAACAAAAACCGACAGCAACGAGGGAGGGTTTTTGATCCAGTGTAAAGTGATCTCGGAGTCTGACCACAGGAATACATTCCCAATCAGGCAATTTAGCAATGGCCTGACACGATTATAGAGATTTGATTAAAGGTGAGCTACACACAGCACTGGGCAACGCAAAGTTTTCGTCTTCAGGGGAGCTACTTTCGATTTGGCGGTCAATAAAGACACTTTCAAACCCTCAGCAGTTTGAGTCCGAACGTAGATGCACGCTTCATACGCTCGCAAGGAAGCGTGAGTGACACCATGTATTTTAATCGGGACTTGTAGATCTGTGTGGATAAATCGCGATACCTTAATTTTCGGCAGCTGCAGAAGCGTCGCTTTAAGCATCTCCCACGATGTAAGTAACTACATCGGTAGCGACTCGTCCCAATCTAATTTTCGAAGCCACAGTTCCTGCAACAACATCTTTGCCTTTGCCAAAAGACGCAAGAGGCCAAGTGGGTCGAAAAGTCGAGCAGTCACCGACAAAATATTTCGCTTTGTCGCGCAAAAATCCAGGAAAGAGTCATCCAACCGTAAATGAAAGTAATCTTGAACCTGTAACCAAACCACGCCAAGAGTTTTAACAGCGCTTTCAGATGGGCAGTTTGAAAACCACTTTGCCAATTCAAAGCCCGCCTCTTGCAAGACCTGAGAAACTTCGTCTCGAAAACTTTGCAGGTCCTAACGCATCCGGCGCTAACAAATCGTCAACATAAAAATCATTCTGAATAACCTGGCAAAGTTCCATATGTACCTGTGTTAAACTTAAAGATTCTCAGGGATTCGTAAAGATCTCGTCTCCATACTATCAGCTGCAAATTTCGGGCAGGTTTGTCCACCATCATTTGGCGATACATATTTTTGACGTCAGCCGCAATGGCAAACTTTTGCATTCTAAACCGAAGCAAAGTCGAGTACAGTTCCTCTTGGATAGTTGGGCCTACTATCAAGATGTCATTTAACGCTACCTGCGTGGAAGTACGGCACGATGCATCGAAAACTACTTTCAGTAATCGGAATTTTGAAACATATTTCTTGATGAATTCAAGATTAATCTTCTTCAGCGAAGGGTCCTTTGAAAATTTCCTTTCGCAACTTCGTATGACAAACCAAGAGTATTTGGGTCAGATTTGAACGGCAAAGGAACCGAAAATCTACCGGACGACAATCTTTGAGTATTTTTCTCAAAGTGTTGTTGACAGAGTTGTGGCTCAGAAGTATGGATTTTAGTGTTGGGCGGCAAGTCGTCCACAGACCAAAATTTCTGCAGGTTGATGTCAATTGACTCCAGCGCTTTCTACCGGCAGCTGAGATGTACCATTTTTTCAGCCTTTACTTATTTTCAGCGGCACATCTTCCTGACACTATCCAGCCGAGAACTGTCTTATGTAAAATGGGAAGTTCCGGCCTCTGCTTTATCTGGCCAACAGATATGCATATCTGCCAACTAAATATTTGCGGGCACCCTCCCTACGCTGGTGTTCACTGTTTGATCCAAATGAAAACCAGACAAATTTTTCAGGATCCAAAAATCGGACGACAACCTGCTGTTCCCTACTCGCGACTTAACAAGCGTGTGTATTTTTTTGTAGCTTGGACATTAGTCCCGCCATTGCCTCGCAAGCTCGTGCACTTGTCCTCCTTTGTAATTTTGAGCCTCTGAGCGAGCTCTTCAGTTATAAAGTTTATTTGTGAACCACAGTCGAGCAACGCTCGAACTAATACAAACTCGCCACTTTTGGTTTGAACGCTCACAACCGCAGTTGCAAGAATGACTCGATCCGATGCCTTCATGTGCATAAAGTTAGCAGTACAACTTTCAAAATCTAAATATTTTCGAAAATTTTTCGAAAACTTAAAGTTTAGTTTTGTGTACTGTTAACTTGATATCAAGTTAGCAGAACACAAGGTTTGTTTAAAAAAAAAATATTAAAACAAGAGCGGCAAATTTTATTCTTTCACGAATAATTTACGCATAATTAACGGCAAATTCCTGCAAAAGAAGTGAAGAATTGAAGTTTAGTTTTGTGTACAGTTAACTTGATATCAATAATATCACAATATCACGAATAATTTACGGATAATTAACGGCAAATTCATGCAAAAGAAATTTTTCGAAAAGTTAAAGTTTAATTTTGTGTACTGCGAACTTGGTATTGAACATTGGATAACTTTTAAAAAAATTGAGCGGCAAATTTTTTTCTTTCACGAATAATTTACGGATAATTAACGGCAAATTATGGTGAAAAAAATGTTTAGATTTTGAAAGTTGCACTGCTAATTTTATGCACATGATGCTTTCGCATGCAAAACATGCGACGTAGATGGAGACTCCTGCATGAGCGTGGGCTGAGAAGGGGATGGCAACGCGAGATTTGTGCTTGGGGAATATATGTGTAGCAAAGTGTGATGTGAAGAATTGCACACTCTTCATCTGTTCGATTTGCATTTTTTGACCGTGTGGCCCTTTCTTAAGCAGTTAATGCATAAATAAGGGTGCTCTTTTAGCGAAATCGAATCTTTGCTGAACTGTTAGGGCTGCGAAGGAAGCGCAGTTTCCAATCTAATGTTCAGCTGAGTTGCAATACACGCATTGTACAGGGTCGTTCCTGGCAGCGATAAACGAAAAACTCCTATTTCATTTTTCTTAGGGTTAGATTGGGTCTGCTGAACAGTTTTGTATAATCTAACTATTCTTTCCATTTTCTTTTAGTTCCTGCATCGACCTTGCTCATTACCAGATGTATTAAAATAGCAATAGTAATGCGTCTATAATCCCCAATAGTCAGCAAGGTGTCATACAAGGCTGCGATGTGGGTTCTCAAGGCTATAGCCGAAGGCTGGGATATTTTATGCAAATTAAAAAGTGTCTGTATGTTGTCAAAAAAAAAAATAGACAATCATTATCGAACACCCGCTTCAGGCTAGCAAGGGATTTGGGATAATTTTCCGCAGTGACTTGAAAGGCCTGATTTTAGAGCGTCACCAGCTAAACACGAAATTCAATGATTGAACTTCGTGTAAAGTATATTGCGTTTATTTGTATTTATTTTTGTTGGTATTGAAGAGGTGTTAAATATTTATTTTAATTAATATTATTTATTAAAAATCTACAAAAAAAAAATCGAGTACGTTACCATACGCACGCAGTGAAGGAAGCTAGGGGAGCTAAGTAACGAGAGAAGTACATCCAAAATATCTAAATAGGGTTTTAATACTTTTTATTTAAACTCTGCGACAGTAATATTCCGCACGCAAGCAGTATAGAACAAACGTTTAAGCAGACCGAAAATGGCACTGCTGCAGCGATCGAGATCTAAAACGACCAAAGATGACTTGAAACAGCGGCACCGGTGTCGGAGAATGATACACTGACCGATAACTAAGAGCAACAAATATATAAGCCTGATGCCGAAAGGCGCGGGAAAATTGTGAAAAGCACGGGAAAATGTTCAGACAAACTGCGGCGGAGGTTTTTGAGAATTATACTTTTCACAATTTGCACTTATTTCCAGATTTTTATTTTTACCCTTAATTGGTGCTCACTACGACGAAAATTGGCCATAATTGCGTCGACGACGGGTATTTTATTTTCGTGTTTATGGTCCAAAGCGATTCACTTATTAATCGAAATATATGTATGTATGCAGAATTATAATTGTTATCAATATCTACCGATTCTTGCATGGGTCAAAACACAATTAACAAAACGCCACAGATTAACTTTCAACTATTAGCACTCTATACATGGTTAACCGATTCGGCAATTGCAACAACAACAAGCGGAACGGCTGAAAAGTTCCAACGAAGATATTTATTTCGGAAGTTAAAACTCAACTGCGATCACGTCGTGGTTACAATGAAAATTTAAAACGGTTTTGTATTAAAACGAAACTCGAAGCTTGTGTGACTGCAGTAGGATTCGGCTGATTTAAATGCGAAAATAACATTTATAAAATTTATCGAAAATTGAGACGACGATAGGTAGTGGTTTCGATGGAGTTCAAATAATCTGTAAATTTAATATTCCAACAATTTCTCTTAGAACTTATATTATGCTAAGGCGAATTCGCAAGAGCGAACGAACGAAAGCTTTATTGTCTCAACTTCAATTTAATTCGAATAATAGCGCCAAGTGCGCAAACAGCTTGGACAAAAATATTTTTTTTTTAAAGAATCAAAATGGAGAACAAATAATACTTTAAAATTTATATTCCTCGAATTTGGCATTGTAATCGTAATGTATTAACTGTTTTGAAATGAAAGCCAATTAATTTATACAAGTCAGAACATACATTTTTCAAGACATGTTTAAGGGTGTCTTGGCTTTATTAAAATTTTAGAAAAAATATTAGTTGATTCCCAACAATTTTGTTTTTAACGATATAAAATACCCTTAAAGTACTTTTTTAACCGAAGTTACAACACACAGAAACTGAAGATTCCAAGAAAAATCAAAAGTGAATTCATTGAAGATATATTTTTTTGAGACATTGATTGGAGAAACTGTGTAAAATCAGATTTTTCAATTTTGACGTCATACTTCAAAGAGATTGATAATAGTTTCTGCCAGATACTTTTTTTTAACTTGATGATGGTCAATGTAACTTAATTATAAGGGTTGCATAGTCAAAAATGTCGTCAAACATAGGATATTTGTATTTTTAGCTGTACCGCGGAACGCTTAGCTGATGTTTGGGTGGGACTTGTATTCAGGAGCACTCAATCGTAATGGAAAAGTTTAAATAGTTCGTAGAATTTTTGGCTGTGTACCTGTGTTAATTAATAAATGACCACAAACAGTTTTATAGCTATTACTTATGTTACTTTAAAAAATGTCGTTTGCGTAAATTTATTTTATAGTTTTGCGATTGGTGTGGCTAATACAGGAACTACCGCAATAGCTGAAATTCAATTTGCGGACTACATATTTCCGAGTTTTGATCAGATAATTAATGAAGCTGCCAAGTACCGGTATCGAAGCGGTGGCCTCTTTGACTGTGGATCCCTAACTTTTAGAGTTCCTTGTGGTGCTGTTGGACACGGAGCATTATATCATTCTCAATGTCCTGAAGCATATTTTGCTCACACTCCGGGCCTTCGTGTTGTGGTAATTTTCAAGTTTATATACAAACTGTCAATTTCCA